TTAATAAATACTAAATAAAGTAATTAGTAAAAAAAAAAAAAAGATCTTCAAAATGCTAGGGACGCAGTTTTCAAATTGTTAAGTTGAGCTCCCCTACTTATTTTTGGCCAATTCGAGCACTGATTTGTAATGAATAATAAAAATATAGTTTATAAGAAAATAAAATGTCATCAAAACATTGAAATAAAATTCAAACATTAACAATAAGCTTAAAAAATATCTAATACCTGTAATAATATAATAAAAAAACCCAGCACAGGGGGGTCGCGGCACAGTGGTGACGTGGCATAGTTGGATCAAGTATAATGATATCTGACAGTGATTAAAATCACTATAAAAAAAAAACGCTTCGATGCAAATCTTTAGATAGAGTTTAATTTTAAAAAATTGGTGGATTATTCCAAAAGCTTCATAAACTGCTAGTTCCTTATTAATATCCTGATTAAGATAAAGTATGTCGAATGAAAAAGGGATTATTAAAAAATAGTATTTCCCATAAAAAAATTATATTGATCAATACACTTTTCAATAAGTTATAGCATTATAAAGTTAAAAATGTAAAAAATAAAATTGAGAATTTTCACACAATAATAGCATTTGGTAGCCATTTTCACCGTGAAGACAAAATAAAGTCCGAAATTTTTTTTTTCCATGATAAAGTATATTACATTAGCTTTAATTTAAGATATATATAAAAGTGTCAGACTTTCCGGAACACTTTCAAAATTTAAGTTGAAAAAGTCAATTTTTTGTGAAAAAGTTGTCATTTTGAATCCCCCCCTGTAGGCAGGTAAAAAGTCAGATTTATAAAAAAAATATACCAAATGATAGGTAAAGACATCATGCATCTACAAAAAAAAGAATTATATTGATCCATACATCTTTCGAGAAGTTATAGCATTATAAAGTTAAAAATATAAAAAAGAATTTTTTTACAAAAATCGTATTTTTTTTATTAAGTTTAATGTCTGTTTTCACCATGAAGATAAAATAAAGTCCGAAATTTTTTTTTACCATTATAAAGTATATTACATTAGCTTTAATTTAAGATATATATAAAAGTGTCAGACCTTCCGGAACACTTTCAAAAGTTACGTTGAAAAAGTTCTACTTTCTATATGCATTTTTATGTTTTGAATCCCCCCTGTATTTAGGGAAATGGTCCGATTTAAAAAAACAGTATGTCGAATGAAAGATCTATATAAATACTACTTCTCATAAAAAAATTGTAATGATTCATACATTTTTCAAAAAGTTATAGCATAATAAAGTTAAAAATGGAAAATACAAAATCGAAAATTTTCACACAAAAATAGCATTCGGTAGCCATTTTCACCATGAAGATAAGATAAAGTCCGAAATTTTTTTTTTTCATGATAAAGCATATTACATTAGCTTTAATTTAAGATATATATAAAAGTGTCAGACCTTCCGGAACATTTTCAAAATTTAAGTTAAAAAAATTAATTTTTTGTGAAAAAGTTGTCATTTTAAATCCCCCCTTGTGGGCAGGTTAAGGGTTAAATTTATGAAAAAAATATACCAAATGAAAGGTAATGATATTATGCATCTATATAAAAAAGAATTATATTGATATGTTCATTTTTGAAAAAGTTATGGCACTTTTAAGTAAAAAAAATTTAAAAAATTCGAAAATTAGCGATTTTTAAATTCGTAATTTTTTTGGAGGTTTCCCCCATTTACGGGGAACGAGGGAATTTTTTCAATTTTTAAGGGTAATGTCTTCGACTCGATACGATTTTTGATCTATTGACGTATCGTTGAAAGAAATCCGTTCGGTGAGAGCTGAGAAAAAGTGGTAACAGACAAAAAAAAAAAAATAAATAAATAAACACATCTTAGTAAAACCAATACCTTCTCAGCTTCGCATCGAAGCTAAAATAGATCTATGATCTGTAATTTTTTCGATAGTTGTTGAAAATTAATTTCACTAATTCAAATCGGCTAATTTCATTGTTATTAAATTTATCACTTGTCTCTTTTGTTTTTCTGAAACGGATCTCAATTTTATTCCGTACGCTTTTTGAGACTGCATTATCAANTCAATGCACTGCTATCTAATTACAATAAAAAAATAGTAAAAAGTTCAATTAAATGATTAGTAGATAATTATTATTGGGTTATTTTGGCAAATATTTTAACCAGTGATTCTCAAGTTTCTATTTATAGACAGGTATAAACTATTGGTTTGGTGGAAACAAAAAACCTATCTTAATCAGATTTGGCGAAAACGATAAACGCCCAGGAAATCGTCACTTTAAGAACAGAACTGACAATTTTTTATTATAAAATAAATTTTAAACAACATTGGAACATAGCTTTTCATATACTTAACATTAAACAAACCAAATATTATTTTATAAATAAATAAAATATTAAAAATACTATTTCATAAATATTATAACAATTAAAGTAAAAAAAAAGAAATACATGTATAACTAATATTTACTTTGTAAAAAAAACCAACACAGGGGGGTCGCGGCACAGTGGTGACGTGGCATAGTTGGGTCAAGTATAATGATATCTGACAGTGATTAAAATCACTATCAAAAAAAAACGCTTCGATGCAAATCTTTAGATAGAGTTTAATTTTAAAAAATTGGTGGATTATTCCAAAAGCTACATGATCAGCTAGTTCCTTATTTATATCCTGATTAAGACAAAGTATGTCGAATGAAAAAGGGATTATTAAAAAATAGTATTTCCCATAAAAAATTGTATTGATCCATACACTTTTTAATAAGTTATAGCATTATAAAATTAAAAATGTGAAGTATAAAATCCAGAATTTTCACACAAAAATAGCATTCAGTAACTATTTACACCGTGAAGACAAAATAAAGTCTAAAATATTTTTTCATGATAAAACATATTACATAAGCTTTAATTTAAGGTATTTAAGGTATATTTAAGGTATAAAAGTGTCAGTATTTTCGGAACACTTTCAAATGTTAAATTGAAAAAGTTGTCATTTTAAATCCCCCCCTGTGGGCAGGTAAAGGATCAAATTTATAAAAAAAATATATCAAATGATAGGTAAAGACATTATGCATCTAAAAAAATAAAAATTATATTGATTTGATAATTTTTAAAAAAGTTTTGGCAGTTTTTATTAAAACAAATTGAAAAAATGTCGAAAATTTTTAAATTTGTAATTTTTTTGGAGGTTTCCGCCATTTACGGGTACGAGTACAAATTTTTCAATTTTTGAGGGTAATGTCTACGACTAGATACAATTTGTGATCTTTTGACGTTGAAAGAAATCGATTGGGCGAGAGCTGAGAAAAAGTGGTAACAGACAAACAAAAAATAAATAAATAAAAAAACAAACACATCCTAGTAAAAGTAATATCGTCTCACCTTGCATGGAAGCTAAATAACCAGCGAGTGTATCGAATACACACGGTTGAAGTGAAACTTCTTTCGTTATGCACAATCAAAATTATTTTAAATTGAATTATTTAATACAATTTAAATAAAATTACTTTGATTTTCGAAAAAACAGTACTAAATTATAATATAAATTATACTTTACAACCAACTGTGGTCAACCGTGACCAACAGTGACGATCGATAATCAGTTTTTTTTCGGATCCTCTATAAAGAAGTTTCACTTCAAAAATTATAAAAAAACAAATAGGAACATACTCTTACATTATTAAATAATGTAAATTAAGTTCCTGTTTAATTACTTACAGTTGCAACTTTTAAACTATTAGATCATAATATTTTGTTAATACTATTAATATTTTTTTCACAATATGAACTAATAAAAAAAAAAGTATTTATTGAACCAATATTACAATTTTAACTAGAAATTATCTCCAGTCTTAATGGATAATTTTTTAACCGTAACATTTCATATCTAATTTATTAAAAAAAGTAACATTATTAATGATTTTAGTAATAATACTTTGACATACACTGAATATCTTTTAATCCACATGTAATATTAATCATCATACACCGAAAACCATCCATAGATAAAGTAGTATTAAGTGGACAAGGTTCACAACCTTTATTTTCCAAATATCTGCTATTTTTGTCACAATAACAGTTCAAGCCTTTTAATATAAAAATTAATTTTAATTTTAAAATTGGAAATTTTAAGCTTGATATTTTCTTTAACTTACGATTTACTGATGATATCATATGGTCACCACATAACTTACAGGACATAATATTGGAATTAAAATATTCACGATCAGAACAATTACTTGGTGTGGTGTTAACAAGAATTTCTCCATATTGAAAGCTCAAAGTAATCATGAAGCCAACAAAAGTAAAAACATTAAAATAAAAAAATTTCATTTTATGATTTTTTTAAGTTTTTAATCTACAAATAAATTAATTGAACCATTTAATCATAAAAACAATTGTTTAAAATATTTGTACATTTATAAAACTGTTTTGTTATGATTAAAATGCCATGGCAACAAATTTTGAATAACAATGAGATTTAAGTTTCTTTGATAACAGAGTTTTTTTTATCTTCTTTCATGTTATTACATCACACATTAAAAATATTAAATAAAAAAAATACATGTACTTAATATATACACATAATAACAGAATTAATACTCAAGATACACGTGCAAAAAAAAAAAAATTCTATTGAGACAAAGAAAATGTGATTAATATAATTAATAAAATATTATTTTTTAACATGAAAGCTTTTATGTTTCTGAAATTGGTTCTTTGTCAACATGTTCTTTCTTATATTTCAATAAAAATGCAGCTAAGAAACCTAAAGGATCTGGAGGTCTAAACATAAAATAACAAAATATTATTAAATTATGAATCATTACTTAAATATATATTTAAATATTTAATTAAATAGAAATTATTAAAAATATATCTAAAAAATATTAAACACACAGCTTAATAATATTAGGTTAATTTTTAAAATGTTTGCGACATACAGATGTAACTGGAGTATCAGTGTTTTCAAGTACTATAACTATTAATTTGAGGACAATTTTTATTTATTTCATAAGTTTTTTACTACGTATAAATTTATTTAATATACTATTTAAGAGAATACTCTAATAAAATCAAAACACAATGTTTCATGTCAAAATGTGTTAGTTTTTAAAAGATATGTGTTTTTTTTGTTTAAATTTGTCCACATTATGTAGCAGAAGTGGTATGTTATACATATTTTTGTACATTATAATAGAAGTTGCGTTTGATAGAATAAGGTAAACTTATATAATCATAGTGTGATTGCCTAACCCCATTGTATAGGAATAATTATCATTGTAGGGCTCCATTGGTAAATATTTTAAAATACTAACATTGCTGAGAATATAACTACAAAATTAAACATACAACAAATTACAAATAAATATAATTTTTTACCAAGTAATTAGATGTACAGATTAATCAACAATAAATAGTTACAGATTTACAATTCTTAAAAATTGATTTTTTATACCCTGTTTAATAATAAATTTAAATCTAAATAATACCTTTCTTTAACTAACTCTTTCATCCCTACTAACAATGCTGGTACCACTGTTTGATCTAAATACTGACGCATAGGTGCATTATGTTTGGAATCTTTTTTTAATCTTTTTACATTATTTTCAGATGTTGCTGCCTTCTACAAACGTAAAACATTTTAAAATATCAAATAAAAAGATTTTAAATCAAATTTTTTTATTATTCTACAAATAAAATAAAATTTATCAATAAAACTATAACACGAAAAATGATTTATTTTTTCGAGTTATACTAATTTATTTATACAATTACCTGCGATTCAGAAACACTGGATTCGGATGGAGCCTCAGAAGGAGATGTTGTAGTTGTTGTTACAACTTGGACATTCGTCGCTTCTACAATAACATTTAAAATGATACATTGCTCATCTGGAAGTATTAATATTTACAAAAAACACTTACCGGAGGTCGACATTACTAAGAAATGTATTGCTTTACTCTTTGATAAAAATCACGCTTACCTAAATTAACTTATTGTCTACTCTAGTCAGAATTTTGTATTTAAATTGAAATATACAACATTCGAGTATGTATTTGACGAGTTATTGATAATGGCACTGTTGCCAAGTATCACTAGGTTAAAATAATTTAGTATCTCAGTTTGAAATGCCGAGTAAACACTGATCAGCTGGTCGTTTTCATCATAGTAGGGATAATACATATAAACAGATAGACGATCATGACAAAAATAATAGTTAGTTATGAGAAATCTGTTTTTTTATGCAATTAATTACGTTTTAAATGAAAATTTAGACCGAATCTAATTTACAAAATACTTATATTTATTATTTTTTAAAAAGTCATTAAATTTTACTGACCTGAATTTTTCTCTCCATAAAATAATTTTTGAAATTTACGTTACATTATAAGACAATTTTTTTATTTTTGTATAGTATATTTTCCAGAAATTGAATCAAAAGATCTCTTTATTGTACAACTCAAGATGTTAGACGTTTATTAAAGGAAGTCGAATTTAACCAATTAAACTCTGAAATATGTTTTAAATTATATTTAAAGAACGAAGTATGGATTCTTTATTTTCCAAAAAAATTAACTTTGGAGAATTGTACTTTTCACTTAAATGCAAAAGTGATGCATTAATATATCTGAATATTACCCCTGAAAACCAAGATTCATTAAATTCAGCCTATGAAGTAAATTTAGCAATTATCACTTAATTAATTTTATTTAAATTCAATTACTAATAAATGTAGATGAATAATTTTAGATCAAAATAGGCTCTAACAATAACAGTCAAACTACCATTAAAAAAGATGATTCTACATATATTACAGTTGATACATCAAACATTTTGGATAACCAAGAAAAAAAATTATTTTGGATAAAATGGGGTGCAGGATTTTTATCAGTTGGTAAAAATTTGGACAAAGATTCATTCATAAAGTGTTCATTTCAAAATATAAAACATGTTTATTGGTTAAATTTTCAATCGTATTATGATGCTGAATGGGTAATTTATAAACCTCCTACCTATAAAAAAGAACTAATTGGTAAGTTCATTAGTACTTTTAAAATTTATGACATTTTTTATACAAAAATTTTTAATTAGTGTTGCATTCTGGTCCATGTAAAAATAATAAATTACAAAGTGTTGAAATGAATTTTGGTATGATTTGCTTAAATGTTTTTGGACCAAAATTTAGAACAAAGTTGTGCTCAAGTTTAATAGATGACAAAATGAAAGAATTATATGAGGTATACGACTAGCATAAGAATTTCTATTTAATTTAAGTTACAATTTATTTTTTTTATTTTTTTTTTTTTAGGTAATAGTACAATAATAATATATTTTGATTCTTAATATACAAAATATAATAATGTTTCAAAGAACTATATTTCTTTATCTATATATCTAAACAAAATTATTTTATACTTCATAAAGTCTTTATAATATTTACTCTTTATAAGAGTTGCAAAATATTTTGCTTGTTTTATTTTTCATACCAAATACAGTGTGATATATTATAAATAACATTTTATAATGCATTTATTGATTGGACATTATAGAATTTTCTAATACCTTTTAACGAGATATTTGTATTACTTGAAATTCAATTGCAAAACAGTTACATTGTATGCAATTAATATGATTAACATAATAAAACCATGTCTTAAAACCTGTTTAACTCATTTAGTTATACAGAACATATTAGTGCAATAATTTCTGATTTTACAAAGTTTTTGGACTTAGTACATAAGATGATTGCATTTTTGTTATGTTTTTGACAGTAGTCAATTTCAGATTTATATGTTTAAATGCAACAATATTATTATTTTAGAAGATTTTTAGAATGAATAATTATAGAGAAATTTCAGCTATTATAGATATTTTAAATAGTCAGATATATTATGCATTGATTATCCTCTATTATATAATTGCTTATCTATAATATCTTAATGATGAAATTATTTTACTTAGACTTAAATAAAATTCAGAAATGTAATCCTTTTATCTTTGTTCCCGTTTTTAATTTATCATCTGATTTAACACTATGAAAATCCTGTTATTTTTTCAGTTTGTCATTACTGTAACATTTTATATTTTATTTCAGGTAGAAATTAATACATTTGAATCATGTTTAATAAAAAACTACAAAACTAGTGATTCTAAAAATATAACAAAAACTTACTTTTCTCCAATACATAAAGAAAATATCAGAAATATATCAAAATCACAGCAGCCTATTTGTTTTTGGTTAAGCTGGTTTGACAGGTGCCTAACAATGGGTATTGAAAATGACAATGAACCCATAATAAGTAGCAAACTTCTATCTTTAGATTTCCACATAGATTGTATTTGCATAATGTCAAAATGGTCTTCCATGGGATTTTTCAAAGGTAAAAATTATATTTTTGTGAATTGAAAAAGTTATATCCAAATATATTTTTACAGTTTATTCTACAAAATGGCATGGTATTAACTCACCAACTGAACATGTTACTTCTATACCTGAAATTGAAGTATGTTTATTATTTAATTTATAAACTAATTAATATTTGATTTGTATTTTAATCTATTTCTTATGATAGAAAAAAAAGTAAACTGTATACAATTCAAGTTTAAATTAACCTCAAAATATGTGTGAGATGTCTTCAAAATATAAAGAGTATTTTCATTTTTCAAAAAAAATATTAATTTTTTTGTCTGCATTAATGTTGTTGCCTTCAAAAACAGTCCCCATCAGATATTATGTACCAACACTTCTTCCAATCCTCGAAACACTTCTCAAACTCTATCTTTGGGATAGAGTTTACCTTCAGCTCACTCAGTGATGCGTTTATAATGTCATCTATGCATATAAAACGATGGCCCTTTATGGTTTTCTTTATTTTTAGAATTAGAAACAAGTCACATGTTGCTATGTCTGGAGAATATGGAAGCAGGGACATTATTACAGTATTGTTATTGACCAAAAGTTCACAAACTAGCAATGAAGTGAACAGGTGCATTATCGTGGTGCAAAAGCCAAGAATTGTTTTCCCACAAATCCTGGTGATTTTTTCAGATTGCTTCACGCAAATGGCGTTGAACTTATAGGTAGTACTCTTTATTGACCGTTTGACCTCGTGGGAAGAATTCATGATGCACTACACCATTACAATCGAAAAACACAATGAGCATAACTTTCACGTTCTATCGCACTTTTCGAAACTTTTTTGGTCTTGGCGATCCAAAATGCCTCCACTGGGATTGGGGCTCCACTGGAACCTTACTTTAACGTTTTATCCATATATCGTCACGTATTATAACAAGTTTCAGTAATTTTGCATCGTCGTTGACTTCATTAAGTGACTCGGGAGTCACTTCCATTAGCTGCTGTTTTTATTCAAAAATTTTTGAATTTTGGACAAATTTTGCTGCTACGCGTTTCATACCCAAAACATTAGAAAAAATTGAAAATTTGAGCCAATCGAAATTCCAACATTATCAGCGACTCTTCTGATTATAATTCGGTGATTGTTTATAACCATTTTTTTTCACTTTTTACACATTTTCATGGGTTGTGATGAGTTGAGGCGTTCGTCATCTTCAACGTCTTCATGGCCATCTTGGAAACGCTTATACCACTCATAAACCCTTGTTTTACTCATATCAGACTCGCCATAGGCTTTTGTTACATATTACACACACTATGTTTTTTTTATTTAATTTTTACGTAAAATTTGATACAAATCCTTTGATCCATTTTTTTCTTTTTAAACGAAAATCGCCGAGTTTATGAAAACACATCTAACCTTAAAAGCTGCTGCTGACTAAGTAAAAAATGAATAAAAAATTTTTTTTAGAAAAAATTTTTTGACAATCTGATTTTCCAAACCCGCAAAATTTAAAAATTCCCGTTATTTTTTTAACACACCTCGTACATACTACCAATTTTGTAGTCCTACTTTTAACACTGGTCTCAAATATTATATAGCTGAAATACAAAGGAGATGACAAGTCCCACTTCAAAGAAATAATTAGAACAATTTGTATTATTTTTAGGAATAGAGAAAATAAATTTTAACTCCCCTTCTTTTAAAAAAAATTGCTGATTATCTAATTATGTTATATAAATATTACATTAATATTTATATTTATATTAACATATAAATATTATATAATATTTACATTAAATATTTAATATTTAAAACCAACTTATCATTTCAGCCACACATTGATCATATCTGTGTGAAGTTCCTAAGAACTCTAGGGTTCTTAATTAGGAATACCAAAAAATTCAAGAACGAACAGTGTCTAAAAACGTTATATACTTCTTTATATAGACCTACGTTGGAATATTGCTCAATTATTTGGAATTCTTCACAAGTCGGATTGATAGAATCGCTTGAGCGTGTTCAAAGAAGATTTATACGTTTAATCTCATATAAGAGACGTATGATTTCTATTAATAACCCTTCCGAGTCAATATCACTTAATTCTGTACAGGCTTCCCTTAACTTAAATTCCCTTGTTAATAGGCGAAAATATACAGACGTCTGCTTTCTTTCTAAATTAGTAAATGGTGTTATATTCTGTCCAGAACTATTACAATCCATAAACTTTCATGTTCCTAAATTTAATTCACGTTCTTGTCCCACATTTGAAATCCCTTTTCATCGAACATCTTACGGTTTTAATTACCCTGTTGATCGAATAGCCAGAGAGTGCAATAAATTAAAATTTGATTTGTTTATTATGAATGATTTGTATTCCTTAAAACACTGATTTTAGTAGCCTGATGCATATCATTAAATCACCTTTTTTTTTTTGATAAATTTATTTTAATATTATGTACTTAATTAATACTATTATTGTAACATACTTGTATCTTATTTCAATAATATTTTATTGTCACTGTACTTGAGCCTACCTGGGTGTTTACACCAAATAAATAAATAAATATAAAATATCTTATTTTTTTAGGAAAGGCATATTGAATCAGAAATTGAACAATTCCGTTTTAATTTCGAGAGACCTGTTTGGGTTGTAATCAATAAAACTGAACTAGAACATTACATATGTGCTGCAATTTTTGGAATAACAATCAATTCGTCTAATAAAATAATTGAAAACTACAATAATTTAAAAAAAGAACATTGTAAATGTGTTATTGAACTAATTAATAAATATTATGATAGTGAAAACTACACTTTAGGATTGACTCTAGTTCATTACTACGTAAAATCTGTGAAGCTTATTAATCTTTTATTAAGAATATATTTAGATGGTGGATCGATATCATTTATAGACTTATCAACTATAACATTCTATAAAAATTTTTCAACTTATATTATACACTTAAATAAATTAAGAAAAGAAAATCTAAATCAAATTAACCAATTGGATAGTATTCATTATCCATCACAAGGAATTTATATTGATAATTTGCCTTTAATTAAAAGTGAGTTTTCCAACGATGTTAACTGCTTTTTAGAAGACTTACCGAATTTAAATAAACCGAAATCACGTGAAAGTGCTTTTTTTGCTGTACAAGAGCATGTTGTTAATCAAAAAATATTTCGAACTTGGTTTCCAGAGGTTGAAAATACAATGTATTCAACTTACAGTACTTACAAAGATGGGCTTGTTACAAATTTCTTTTTGCTTGGTGGAAACAAAAATGAAGTAGAAAACCTTATAAAATCTATAGTTTCTTATGAATCATTCTATTCTGAAAAATCATCATTACTATACACTACAATAAAAAAATCGAAAATTTTTGATAACTTAAATATATCCTACTTGTTTTGTACAAAATTTATAATACCAAAACCAGTTAATAATAGTCCTTATTTAAATTGTCCATTATTATTAATTCAATTGAGTTATACAAGAATATATGAAAATTACTTTTATTTTTTGAAATTTCCAGAACGTTTTATTGTCATAGCTTCGGATGTTATGTCATTTCTTCTTAGTGAAATAAAGAGTCAATGTTTGAATCTACATTTCCAGGTTCTTTGTTGTGTAAATGGAATAAATATAAAATGCAATCATCCTGTGAAAAAAGAAGTTTATTCTTATATAATGTTGAATTTTACTATGAGATTGGCAAAAATAGCTAAAGAACCATATTTTATTTACTATAGTTATTTTATCGAACTTTTGTCTCAGTTTTCATTAATTATCAATAAAGTAATCAGTTCTCTAAAAACTCATTTAACCACAAAACTCATTGAATTTTGTGCTAATTGGATTATTGAGAAAATGATAACTATTTTTCAATGTTATGAAGAATCAAAAATATCAGTAACAACAATTTGTGGGACATTTAATGAAGTAGAGTTCAATAAAGAATTTTGCTCTATTTATAATATTAAATTTTATTCAGTTGATTCAGTAATTAATCATGTATTTAGTTCTACATTGAATGACATCACCTCATTAATAAACGATTTCAATTCCAGTTTTTTCCAAACAACTATAAGGATTTTAGAACCAATTGAACCAAATGTCAGTGCTACATTTTTTTATAAGGTTCCGGCAAAATCGGGCCCAAGGGTTTACAGAATAGTAGCATCAAAAAAATTCCCAAAGTTAAATTTTTCAAATCATTTAGTTTTCAAAAGATTTGATAGTGAGAATTTAGTTTATTTATGGTCAGATGATGATTGTGAATATCCTTTGGTGTTGTTTAAATTTGAAAAAAATGGAATTTATGAGTGTGGTATAGTTATATTCTTAAAATTAATTGAAGCAATGTCATTCAATCCATAATATATATTTTTATTTAAAAAATAAATTTGCTTGTTTTACTGTTGTTAATAATTAATAATTATTATTAGATGTTTATTTTAAATTATTTATTTAGTGTATATATTAATTTTTAATTAGTTAATCTTATTTATAAACAAAATCTATTGAATTTTTTTGTCAATAAAACACACATGGAAAGTTTTCTACTTTTTCTTTTTTATCTTACTTATCGTAGAACATGAAATATTTCACATAATACTTTAATTATATATTTAGTAGCGATTGACGAGGAGTTGCCATTTCTCTCTCTCTCCGGTAACGGACCAACTACTTGTCCCGAAGTTTTCATGGTTGAGAAACTTCCCCTTTGAGGAGGAAGCTGTAGCCCTTAATATATTTCAAAATTGTAAAAAGATAAATCTTGGATTTTTGTTATTTCCAAAATATTTAAATACCTTGGAAACAAAAAAAAATAGTACCAAATTATTTATAGTTTTGATAAAAAAAATTATTTTTTGATCAATTGGGTACCTTTGATTTTTAAATCGTTTACTAGGTAAATGATCAATCATCTAGATTATTTTTTAATTTTTACAAAAAGTTTTTTTTTACATTTTGAATGTGATGTAGTTATTTCTTCTAAGTTTTTATATCCCCTAGTAACACTAATATACATGAAATTATATAATTTTTACTTTTTATATTATGTTGATTAATTTATCACTACACCCAGAGAAAAACCTCGATCTATATAATAAATTCATTGTTCAATTTGATAAATATATCATTACTATTGAATCAATGATATATTTATCAATATGATATTTTTTTTTCTCGTCTTGAACAATAATTATTTATAAGAATAGTTATTTTGTTCGTATTAATAAAACATTATCATAAACCCTTGATAAAATTTCTCTTTCAATTTTGATTGAGGTTTTTCTTTGGGTGCACTATAATGGGTTTCTAATAAAACAGTTATTTTTTAATTCTTAGAATTACTCAAATTTTTATTATCTATTCTTCTTATTTTCACTTTTATTGGTTATGTTATTAATTAATATATCTTCAAGTGATATTTGTAACTACACATTAACACTCGCTTCTTCTCATACATAGACAAAAATTGACAAAAGAGCTTAGCTCATCTTAAAATTGGCAAAGTTCCTCAAAAAATTGAAAACAATTCATTACTGAGCAAGAATATAAGGTCTTTAAATCCTACAATTTTTTTTTAATTAAACCTGTTTTGCCATATGATAAATCCACGAATACATTACAATTATTCCTAAATAATTGATCATTGGGTCAATTTTCAAATAATCCTTATTTTTGCAATTATTTCTAAACATAAAGTTTAATTCTAATCGTAAATTTTAGCAACCCAAGAATTTAAGTGTATGATCACATATAAATTTAATAACAGAAAAACTCACAAATCATAACTAGGCTAGTATTATTTTAGATAAATCTAAATTGAAAGTCAAGTCATGAAAATTATTTTTAGTTTTAAGTTAAACATAATTAGAAAGACCATTTTTAATGAAAATGTTGATTTCCACAGCTCCTTGAATTAAAATGAACGATCCGTTATGGTAGTAAGAGTACACTATGCAATCAATTAAAAACATTAAAAATATATTAATGGTAATTTATTTATGGTTTTTCAATTTAAATGCATTAATATATATATATATATATATTTGTATATTTAAATAATATACAAGCATATTATGCAAGTAATTATGGTAATCAGTACCCAACCTATATAAATATTTAAAAACTAATACAGCTTAAATAAAAACATTATACTTTAAAAATAAATTAACGATTAAATAATGAATTAAAAAAGCATTGACTAGATAAAATTGTATCTGACTAGACTTTGTTTTTTAAAATTGTTATTTCATATTTCATTTTACAATTGTTCTTCAATTTTAATGAGTTCTTTTATTCCGTCATTCATTTCTTTAACAGCTTGATATTCAGTCAAGCCCATTCTTCTTTTATTTGAAATATCATATACTCCACCTTCGGCATCTGTATGTTCACCTCGTGTTCCTCTAACCTGAAATTAACATTAACTTTGTCAAGTATTGGTACTATTTATTATTACCAATGTTATATCCAGGATCGTAAAGTATTGTTCTCCTCACCCCCCCCCCTTTAAGAAATTATTATCATTCATATTTGGATTTTTTTAGTCGTCCATAAAATATTTAACTTGATTACCTTTTTTTTATGACAATATACGATGTAGAGAAAAAAATTTTCGTATCCAAAAAAAAATTTAATTCAACAAAAACTTGGAAGTGACCATCACAATCGAAAATTCTGGATACGCTACTGATTAAGAATTTAGACAGCAAAGTAATCTCAGTTATTTGTCTAAGCAATTATTTTTAAAACTGTATAGAAGAAGGTCTTAAACACTATTACTCACTTATCAAATATATTTGATTTAAGAAATCAATAATTTATTTAGAATTATCTTAAATTTATTTTAAAGTGATTCATTTTACTTAGTTATACCAATTAATTTATTATTTAACTAATTTAATATTATATTAATAACATAATTATAATCCAATTAATCATTTTATTGTTAAGTGACACCCTTAAAATATATCCAATATCATTATGTGAATAATAGTTTAAGTCGACAATTGTTCAATAAGGAGAATACTATCAATAAATAATTATTAAAAACAAAGTTGCACAATTTTGAAAAAATTATTCAGTCAAAAAAATAATTTTTTCATCACTTCATATTTTTAGCTTTGGGACACCTCTATTTATATGTTGTTACATTCGAACACATACTTGCAACATTCTTAAATCATTCTTAAATATTAGAGAGAGACATATGATATAAACATCATTTCTAGTAAATTTGTGTAGTCGAAATCGCTCACAAAAAAATGTTAAATATAAAAAAAATATTTAACCCATTAATACAAGATTATTTTTTTCATGTAACAAATGTATAAACTGCTACATTTTTTAAAAATTTAAATTATATTTCAATTTAATGAAAAATATTTCTGAACATTTTGTGTTTTAAACACCATTTTTTATTCTTATTATTCACATAAAGTTAAATCAGTATCAATATAACTAATATTTTAAATAAAAATAATTAAATTAAATTTTCTATTCTTATTGCGATAGTAAAAATAGTAAATTAGTAAACTACTGAGTTTAAAAATTTAACCAGGTACGTAACTTAGGAAAGTGCAATACTTTTCGCACTGAAACATTTTTTTTATTTTACTATTTAAAAAAAATGAAAAATAAAAGCTAAAAATAGGTTTTGATTGATTTGAAAACTTATAATAATGACAGTTATATGATTAACATTTCATAAATTATAAAGATGTTGATATATATATACAGGGTGTTCAGTAAGTCAGGAAACGGGTATCTATTGTTCTCATTGTTTGTAATATTTTGTATATATTTTGTAATACATTGTATATATACAGGATATAGAGTATGTGTTTAGCGTTGATAATGGTAACATTGTTTCCGAAATACGTATCCGCGACTTTTCATTAATTTTTTTGTGGCTTTGAGTTTAATATTTTTAATATTTTTTAGTTTTTTAAATTAATAATATTTTTAATATAGTTTTAATTTTACTTAAGGTGTTGATATGGTACTGGTTCTCTTCAGCATTAGATTGTGGGTTCTAAATTATACCGTGCCTCTTTTTTTACATGATTTCCGGTACACTTTTGATGACCGGCGGTATTGTCAGTAATTTACGACTAATACTACAAATTAAGGGTTATAAAAACAATTATTTACATTATGGCAATAGTTAACTACTGCAAATATTTAGAACATTAATCTCCTCTCCGTTCTATTTTTTCAAAGTATACTCTAAACGAAAAAAATGTTTTGACTTTTCTCAAATAATTTCTTATTTGTCAAAACACGTTTGAATTTCTAATTAAAAGTTTGTGTACATATGTAGCTAAGGAATATCCATTTTTTGTTAAAATTCGTTTTTGTTTAAGAAAAATAACAAGTATACTGAACATTTAAGGTTCAATGAGCCATAGAAAAATGAAACATTTTAATACTTTACAAGTGAGTTCCACATTAAATATTTTTTGATCCAAAGTAGTAAAACGAATTTAAAAAGTTTAATTGTCTTGGTTTCACAAAGAATTATAATTCGCACACTATCATTTATGTAGTCGATTTATCATAATTATTAGAAAATTACTTAATGATTAATTAAATGAATCATTAAGTTCCATTATTTCTATGAAATTCTTGTTATCAATTTTTTTTTGTTAATAATTACTTGTAAGTTGTATTTAGATGCAACTTCTTCTAATTTTGTTTTGTCAGCAGCTAATTTTGGCAATTGTATGTGGACAGATGCTCGAATAGTTGTACCCAAATTAGTTGGACAGAATGTTAAGAAACCTAAACGGTCGTTGTGTGAAAAAGGAAGTCTTTTTTCAACGTCGTTGACTGCTGTTACAAGTCTTTTGTATACCTAATTGAAGAAGTGTAATATTCTTACATTATGTGTGAGTAATATTTTTCGCATACAAATATTAAATCGTCACCTCGCCTAAGTTTCCACCCATTTGCATCGAAATAAGTCTTAAATGATCCTCTTCATTGCACCATACTAAGAATGTTTTGTTTTCATTATGATATATTCCACGGCCAGTTGGCCAAAATCGTGATGCATTAGCTGCCTATTAAATAAAAACAAAATTAGAAATTGAGAAAAGTAAAATTGTATAAACATTTTAATAAAATAAAACATAATCAAATATTATTAACAAATGTAGAATAATTTAAATCAAATAAATAAAGTACCTGCAAAAATCTATCACCCTCCTTGAACAGAAAATGATCGTCAATAAGTTTTTGCTGCACGTCTTTGGGCATACCAGTTAAAGGATAAAATTCTCCTTTTAACTCTCCGGATAAGCCTTTTAGTGTAGAAGAAACTTTAGCTTCCATTTCCTTGTATTGTTGTTCAGTTAAACAAGGATTAAATGGATAACCATCTAATGAACGACCACATCGTACTCTCGTTGAAATTATGTATTTTCCCTGAAAGAATTTTTAAAGAAATTCCTTGTGTTCCAATAATACTAATGTTGCACATACTTCTGGGTCTAAGTCTCCAAGTGTGTTTACATCACCCCAATCTTTAGCGGGATGTTTGTCAGTGGGCTTGAAACCCTTATGGTAATCTTCAATTATTGGATCAAATATAGGTGCAAATACTGTATAGGCTTCGGCATCGGGTGCATAGATACCAACTCCAGAATCGTGGTTCTGAAATCCTAAAAAATACAATAGTTATTAACAAGTATATGATATGCAAGTAGTTTTTAATAATAATATTTATTATATTAATATTAATAAAAAAATATAATTGTGTTAATATTTAAATACTATCAATTTATGAAGACATTAAAATAATATGAAATTCTATAATGATTAATTATACAAATTTGTTAAGTATACTTTTTATGTAAACTAGTGTAGAATTAAAAATGAAAATTAAGCATTTTTTTTGTATATTAAAGAGCTATATTTATTTATTTTCCGCAATAATTTGAAAATGTATCGTAAATGAATGGTTACCGTATTCCGTCTCACTGGTCTATTTAGGTTTTAACGTTTTCTCTAACTAAATCATAGTTTTTCAAAGAGGATGTTAAATATAGAGGAATAATAATAATATATAAATATATTTATATAATGAAATGTGATAAAATTTAATATTAGTGAAACTTATACAAGTATATATATATATATATATATTTTTTTTTAAGTTAACTTATAAAAAAGCTTAATTGTAGTTTATTATAATTAAATAAAAAATATTTATTATATCTTTTGCACTTCAAATTAGGTGCCTAATGTTAATTTTCGAAGGAACTAAATAATTAGAATACATATTTAAAAATCCTTTCGTTTCAAATATAAAATACATAAGTGTATTATTATTATTTTTATTGTAACTTTATGATTATGCAACTTAGGAGATATAGGGAGGATTCCTAAAATTCTGTTTGTTGCTTACTCCAAAAAAAAATTATGAAAATTAATTATATTTTCATGTATAAATACTTTTAAGGTGGGTATAAATCAAATTAGACCTTTCAAACATTTTGTTCAAATTGCACCCCAGTTATTGCAAGAGTAAATAAAACATCAAAGTATTTTTCTTAAAAAAATATATTTTATATAATCTTTTTAATTTTATATGAATTTTAGGAGCCATATTTCGGGGCATTTAAATGTTTGTGGGAACGCTGTTTAAAACGTTGTGGGAAAACAAGGTGATGCTGGAATACTGATTCTGGATATTGATCCCAACAGCGTCAAGCAGTCTAGCTCGAAAACTCAATGACCTATATTCACTCAGTTTTCCCGGCAAAATACTGTTATTGTTCATGCCTTTAGTACAACGACAAAAAAAACACTCCGTATATTCATTATTATCTACGTATTAAAAAATATTCATTAATCACTCTGAGCGAAGAAAAATGATTTTTTTGAAGTTTTTTTCTTTAATTTCTTTTACAGTAGGGGCGTTGCCAAAACTGTGTCTTCAGGATGATTGACAAGAAGTGCCCTAAATATAAACTACTAACAAAAATCACGTGCCTTTAACTTTTTTAAGGTGTGGAAACGAAATTAAAACTCAACAATTTGAAATTGTTTTTATAAAAAAAATTCAAAAATCAATATTTTACATTAATATTTATTACTGTTGGTTTTATTATTAGTACTTCATATTTGATTCATTTTCGGTCGATTAATCTCTTTTACCCTCTCAGATGATAAAACATAGACGATTATAAAAATCATGTATTAAGAAAAATAATTTTTAAAAACTTTCCTGAATGTTTCACATGTATTATAATTCACTACATGATTTCATTTGTAAATGTCTAACAACAAATATTTTTTGATTTTAATGTTTTTATGGTTTGAGAGTTTATAATACTAAATAGAATTCTTATTAAAGATATTTCTTTTTATATTACAAAATTTATTTCTCTATATGCCAAATAACTTCTTAAGTCACCTAATTTTTGCTAAATAACAGTACTTATATATTTCTTAAGTTAATAAAGTGACATAACAATCAATCTCTTTAGTTCAAAGTTATAATAAAATATCATTATGTTTTATTAAATCTATTAAATCTATTTGAATTTTTGTAAATTATATATAATAGTTTATAAATTATTTTCAAGTTTAATTATAATTAAACTTAACTTTGGTAATTTATACAAATTATCTTTTTTTTTTAACTTTTTACAGGCATTAATAAAAAATTAACCTTTGGATTATTAATTTAAAAATAAAAACCTCTCATACAATTTTTTTATAAAATATTAATAAATGTTTGAATATTAACTTACCAGATTGAACACAGTCCAAAAGTGTAGATCCAAAACTGGTTTTCTTATTTTTTAGTTGTTCAAAGACGTCCTTAGTAAGGTATTTTTTCAAAAGTGACTTACTATCTGAAGATGAAAGTGAAGCCCATCCGCTTTCCATTGTTGCTAATACAGCAGGGTCCATTTTGAATTTTTAATAGATGGTCTAAAATTAATGCAAAATATTTAAATATTAAATAATATTGTATCTTTTGAAAGATCTATTTACTAATATATGTCGAGAATCATTATTTAGAGGGAAAAACATAACACTGTACAGGTTAAACGTTTAAATACACATAGGAAAATAATAATTTTTCAATTATTCCTCATCTATCAAAATTAATAATTATATTCGCCTATAAAACATTTTTTTATTTAATGTAATTAAATATTATGAACTTTATCAAAACTTTTATGTGATTATCCTACATGTCCTTTTCAAAAATCAAAAATCCAATCACACAAATTAGGAAAATGTTAATTAAGCTAAATTGCTTGATTTTTGATATTCCCTATACGAGAAATGATACAAAAAAGGATTTTGTCCTCTAAAATTATCAATCATTTTTTTATAGTAAGTCAACAACTTTTAGGAAATTATTTATAATTTTTATTTTATCCAATGAGAAACTTGAAAAAGACTTCTCCATCACATTGTTTTTGAAGGATAAAATCCTATACCAAGATTTTTTTTCATTTTAAATATAATAAATTTCTTTACATGTATTTTATTCATTAAATTTATTTCAACGCACACAATTTTTAGCACGTTTTGGTACCTCTAAAAATTATTACATTTTGAATTTGAGTGGTGTTTTAAGACCAAATTAAAATTAGTATTCCAAATTTAAGATAGAATGATCTACTCTACTTAGAACTTATATCAAATCTTGAAATTATGTTATAAATGTCAAAACTAGTTAAATAAAGTAAGCTATATTTATAAAACAGATTAATAAACTAAAAAAATCAACTTTTGTGTATTTAGACTATAATGTACTTATATATTTTTTAAATTAATTTTAAACCAAATATTACATAAATATTTGTAGTTGCTTATATTTATGAATATAATACCCCAAAAATGTTTTATCGTAGTCTAAGAACATTGTACCTTAATTAGACTAAAAATATATAAATATTTTATTTTCAACTACAGTTTTCATTCTATATATTAAGTACAATTTATGTGTATTATTTTTTCAAAATATTTTCAAATTCTTTAAATTTTTAAAACATTTAATAGTTTAAAAAATTCAACATAAATAATGAAAATACTAATTTATTTTTCATTTTAATCTAATAAAAGAATTAATATTTCACCGTCAATAAATTATTTGTTTTAAAGTAAACTATTTACTTACATTAATCTCGATTATTGGAAATGACTGAGTATTACAGTTAACCGCTCAGGTGAAGTTTATCGTAAGCGATTCAATAGAATATTAGTGAGCTTTGCCGCTGTATAGCAGAACCATGCCTTCTTCTTGCCCTGTTTTTAGCTAGTTCCAACAATGCCATGCGCTTTAAAATATTCATCTCTAGCAATGATAATATTTTCTAAAATAATACAAATAAAAAACTTATTTTACAATTATATTTTTTAATTAATCAACTTCAAATACATAAAAAATGATTGATTTAAAATTCCTAAATATTTATATAAATACTATTAAAAAATTCCATATTAATTATACATCATAAGAAAATAAGTGAATTAGGACAATAACATATTTAATTAGTACTCGACGAACTATTTCTAATTTTAAAGATAATACAATAATTCTGTACCTTAGGTCTAGAAGGGCTTATCTACAAATATAAAAAAAAAATTTTATTTTCAAATAACCACTATAGATTTCTTAAATATATAAACAACAAAATTAAAGTTTCTTTCAGTATAATAAAAGTTTTTTTTTAAGACGTAACTCAGGTGCTATTACCAAATACTTAATTTTTCGACAGTAGTTATTTGAAAATAGAATATTTTTTTATTATTATTCTAGATTGACCCTTTTGGACACAAGATACGGAATTATTTAAATTTACATTTTATTTTGTCTACTATATGGAAATCATTTTTAAAAAATAAAGCAAAATGTAGTCTAACAAAAATTAGAAAAAATAATTTCAAATTTTTAGTAAACAAAATTCAATTTATCTCAAAAATAATAAAAATTATATAATATTCGTTATAGCCTAACAGGTGACATCGGTGGCGTCGTAATAATATTTAATATATTAAATATTATATATATATATATATGTATTTCATAATAAAAAAAAATTAATGGGACAATACTACTTAAAACATTTTTATTCATTACTTATTATTAGCATACTAAACTTTATGCATTTATACAATTTATTTTAGTGATAAATAGATATAATATTTAGCATCGATGCAAAGCTGAGAAGATATTAATTTTAAAATGATGTGTTTTTTTTGTGTCTGTTACCACTTTTTCCAACTCTAACCGAACCAATTTCTTTCAACAATACGTCAAAAGATCACAAATCGTATCTAGTCGTAGATATTACCCTTAAAAATTAAAAAAATTTCCCTCGTTTCCCGTAAATAAAGGAAATCTCCAAAAAAATTACAAATTTAAAAATCGATAATTTTCAACATTTTTTCTATTTTTTTTTAATTGAAACTGCCATTACTTTTTAAAAATGACCAAATCGATAAAATTTTTTTATATATGCATAATGTCTTTACCTATCAATTGATATATTTTTTTTATAAATCTGACCCTTTACCTACCCACAGGGGGATTCAAAATGACAACTATTTCAACTTTGAAAGTGTTCCGGAAATACTAACACTTATATATATATAATTTAACATGTAAAAAAAAAATTTCGAATTATTATTTTGTTTGCATGGTAAAAACGGACATCAAATTTGATAATAATTATACGATTTTTATAAAAAAATTCCTTTTTATATTTTTAACTTTATAATGCTATAACTTTTAGAAAAATATATTGATCATTACAACTATTTTATGATTATTACTATTTATATACCTCTTTAATTCGACATTTTATTTAATCGGACAGGGGAGGGGGATCAAAACTTAAAACTGCGTATAGAAAGAATAACTTTTGTGTATATATTAAATTAAAGTTTTATTTTTTTTTCATGGTGAAAAATAACATCATGGTTAATAAAAAAATTCTTTTTTATATTTTTAACTTAATAACGCTATAATTTTTTGAAAATGTATTGATCATTATAATTTTTTTAAGATTAGTACTATTTATATTTTTCTTTTATGCAACATACTTTTTTTTTTATTCGGATCCTTTCCCTTTATCTGTTATAAAAATATTTATATTACACTTATAAATCATAAAATTTGTAATCAGAATATAAATAAGGAAATAGGAGGTCATGTAGTTTTGGAATAATCCACCAATTTTTTAAAATTAAACATTATCTACAGATTTGCATCGAAGTGTTTTATATGATAGTGATTTTAATGATGTGATTCTAACTGGACTCATCTATGCCACGTCTCCACTGTGCTGTGTTTTTTCTTAATCCTATTTTATTAATTTTATTTTTAGAGTGCATTAAGATAAGGATACACTATTTACCACACATCTTATTAGGTATCACAATACATAACATGTATTATTTTATATATTATACAGAGTGTTCAAAAAGGAAGGAAACTGGTCAATTGATACTAACAACGAGAACAATGGAAACTCATTTTCTTACTTACTGAACATTCTATATACATAGTATATATGTTGCGTATAAGGATCAATGCAACTAAGTATCATGTATACTCATTCAAACTAATGTTTTTACAGAAAAAATTTTTTTAGCTTCGATACGAAGCTGAGAAGGTATTAATTTTACATAATGGTTTTTTTTTTTTTTGTGTGTGTCTGTTGTCACTTTTTCTCAGCTCCGACTGGACCGATTGATGAACAATATGTCAAAAGAACACAAATTGTATCTAGTTGAAGACATTACACTTAAAAAATGAAAAACTGTCCGTCATTTCCGGTAAATGAGGGAAATTTCAAAAAAAATTTTTAAAATCGGTAAATTTCGTCATTTTTTTGCACTTATTTTTCTTAAAATTACCATAACTTTTTCAAAAATTAAAAAATCAACTTCATTTTTATTTATATAGAAATTTTATATATTTCTCTTTTATTTGATATCATTTTTTTGAAAATCTAACAGTTAACCTGCTCACAATTGCTATAACTTTTAGAAAAATGTATGTATCAACACAATTTTTTTTTTCTAAATACATTATATATACCTCTTTTATTTAACATACTTTTAATTTAAATTGGACAATTTACCTTTTTACAAGGTGTGTTCAAAACTTGAGACATATATATAAAAAGTATAACTTTTTCAACTTACCTTTTGAAAATATTCCGGAAATTGTGCGTCCTTTAAATATAAACCAAATTAAAGCTTACAATATGTACTATAAGTTCAAAAAAAAAATTTGTCCCGATACCTTTTCTTCTATAGGAATATAACCTTCGAATTTAACGAAAAATGTAATTATTATGTAAAAATCAATGTTTAACATGAAATATTTTAATAATTAAAACTACCATAACTTTTTGAAAAATAAACAAATTAAAATTATTAGATATTTTTCTTTCATTTTTTGAAAATCTAACACTAAACCTTACCTCGGGAGGGATTCAAAAAAACAATTTTTGCACGCAAATAAGGTTTTTCAATTTTATTTTTGAAAATGTTCTAGAAATATTAACACTTTTATTTGATCTTAAATTAAAATATAACTTTATGAAAAAAAAAATTCGAAAAATAGATTTTCATCTTGGTGTAAATGGTTACCGTATTATAAAATATGCTATTTTTGTGTTAAAATTCTGTGTTTTGTATTTTATTTTATTTTAAAATATCTTACAAGGGCAATATACTGACTTTCATGAATATCATATAATTTAATAGACATAGAATAAAGTTCATAAGACATAAGAAGTTAAACTTATTTTAATTTTTGCTTTTTTAAAATCGAAAAAGTACCTTTAAAATTTAATTTGCTTAAATTGCCAATTTTATTAATCAAAGAAACCGACGAACTGTTGTGTCTTTCACGGTTAGGGTACCTGGATCATATTCGCCTGTGGCACTGAATTTTTTCTTAATTCTTTTTGAGTTAGAAAAAAATGTTTAACTCATTTGATTTTTATCTCATTTAGATTCATTAACTTCAATAAATATCAAAGATCACATCACTGTAGTGATGCCCTCATGAGAAGAAAAATTTCTTATTCATGTTAATATTATTTTACTATGTGTTTTTGTGGCTGCGATTTATTTTTCCAACCCTCACTTAACCTACTTTTTTCAACAATATGTCAAATAAATACAATGCGCATTTAGTTTTAAATATTACCCTCAAAAATTAAAAAAAAAATCCCATAATTAAATAAAAAGTAGCTTAACCAGCTTTAACCATACAAACAATTAAAATCATTCATTTCTAATATTGTTAAAGTATTTATTGTCAAATTAGATTTAGTATCATAAAAGATTCAACTACAAAAGTAAATAATTTTACTTTGTAAATTGTAAATTTTTTTACTGTATTTATATGTGCTACTACCAGTCTAAAACATTCCAAATTTTTTTGATACATTTTGTTATATAAATCATAAATCTAAAAAAAATGATTTTTAGTTTCACCTCAATTTAACAATGGATTTTTACAATTATAATCAAATTTTATAATACGTTCAATTGAGTAAATCTTTTTAACAACTTTTTTTTTATTGGTTCTTTTAGTTAAAGTAAATCAAAATTAATTAAGTTCTAAATATTTCCATTGTAAAATCTTTTTACACACCAAAAGTTAATTAGAAATGATTACTATGATTTCTATTTAAGTGATCTATTATGATAAAAATTTAAAAAAAATCGAGCTTTTCTGATAAATTTACCATAAATTGTAATAAAAAATTTTCTGACTGCATATTAATCTTAACAATACCATTTTTAGCTCTCACTGGACCGATTTTTATGAACAATACGTCAAAAGATCAAAATTTGTATCAAGTCGAAGACATAAGACCCTCAACAATTGAAAAAATTACCTCGTTACCCGTAAATGTGCGAAATTTTCAAAAAAATTACAAATTTAAAAATCGCTAATTTTCGAAATTTTTTCAATTTGTTTTACTTTAAATTGCCATAACTTTTTTAAAAATAACCAAATCAATATAATTTTTTTATAAATGCATGATATTTTTAACTTTTATTTGGTATATTTTTTTTATAAATCTACCCTTAACGCCCACAGATTTAAAATGACAACTTTTTCAAAAAAAATTAACTTTTTCAACTTGACTTTTGAAAATATTCCGGAAAGTCTGACACTTTTATATATATCTTAAATTAAAGCTAATGTAATATACTTTATTATGGAAAAAAAAAATTTGGACTTTTGGATTTTTTGTAAATCTGACCCTTTATCTGCCC